CCCCCCCCCCCAAAAAAAAGAATGGAGAACTGCTGGCCTATTTAGGATAGGACAGCAAAGTACAGAATGGAATGTAGAATATAGAATAATATAGAATGATATAGAATAGCGTAGAATAATTATTCTATATGCAGGGGTCTCCAAACTTGGCAGCTTGAAGACTGGTGGACTTCAGCTCCCAGAATTCCTCCTCCTCCAGTCATGTTAGCTCAGGAATTCTGGGAGTTGAAGTCCATGAGTCTTAAACTGGCCAAGGTTGAAGATCCTTGTGTTAGAGTAATACAAGAATAGGAAATGCATCACAGGAACAATAGAGATGAAACCTAGAGGGGCAATGTGATATAGGAAACCACTCCAACAGAGGGGAATGATAGAGCTGCATATAAGATAGAACAGGAGACTTCAAGCGTGATAGCTTTAGGACTTGTGGACTTCAACTCCCAGAATTCCTTCTCCGGTCATGTTAGCTCAGGAATTCTGGGAGTTGAAGTCCACGAGTCTTAAACTTGCCAAGGTTGAAGATCCTTGTGTTAGAGTAATACAAGTACAGGAAATGCATCACAGGAACAATAGAGATGAAACCTGGAGGGGCAATGTGATACAGGAAACCACTGCAATAGAGGGGAATGATAGAGCTGCATGTAAGATAGAACAGGAGACAGCTTTAGGACTTGTGGACTTCAACTCCCAGAAGTCCTCCTCCTGCAGTCATGTTAGCTCAGGAATTCTGGGAGTTGAAGTCCACCAGTCTTCAAGCTGCCAAGTTTGAAGATCCTTGGGATATAGAAAGAGTCGAGAAGAAGAGAACAAAATAAACAGAGCTGGAAGGGATCTTGGAGGTCTTCTAGTCCACCCTGCTCAAGAAGGAGTCCCTATACAAGGCGTGTCCAACCGTGGCCACTTTTAAGATTTGTGGACCAACTCCCAGGATTCCTCAGCCAGCAGAACTGGTGCACCCGGCTTCCAGGTGGGCAGAGCCCCCCTTGGCGAGAAACTGCCGGGCAGCTGGGTTGGCACCGTTGCCCCTTCTCTTTCTGCAGGCTGGAACCTGCCCGCCTACCTCTCCGTCCTCATCGCCCTGGGGAACCTGGGCCCAGTGAGCGTGGCCCTGACCCACCGCTTCGCCCCCAAGAGGCTGAAGGAGCGGTGGCTGATCCACGCCATCCAGGCCTTGGCCACGGCCACAGCGCTCCTCCTGGCCCTCCTGTGGGACCACACTGTGGTGGTGGCCGGGCAGCCCCGCAGCGTGGCCTTCCTGGCGCTGGCCTTCCTGCTGGCGCTGGCCTGCTGCACCTCCAACGTCTCCTTCCTGCCCTTCATGTACCAGTTCCCCCCGCTCTTCATCCGCACCTTCTTCATCGGGCAGGGATTGAGCGCCCTCCTGCCCTGCGTGCTGGCCCTGGGGCAGGGCGTGGGGCAACTGGAGTGCCTCAATGCCACCTGGGGGAACGCTTCGCAGCCGCGCTACCTGCGGGAGAACTTCTCCGCCGGCACCTACTTTGGGCTGCTGGTGGCCCTGCTGGTGAGCTCTGCACTGGCTTTCCTGGCCCTGGTCCTCTGGCACGGCCGCCAGGAGGGCCCGAAAGAGAGGGTCCCTCCGGAGGGGGGGACAGGCCCGGAGGAGGTCTACCCGTTGCGTGACGACAGCGACCCGGCCTTGCATGACGGTATCACCGAGGGGCCCCCCGGCAGGGACTCTCCCCCTCTGCTGACCTTCTGGACCGGGAGGAACATCTACCTGCTGGGGCTCCTGGGGGTCTCCAATGCCCTGACCAACGGGGTGCTGCCCTCCGTGCAGAGCTACTCCTGCCTGCCCTACGGCAACACCGCCTTCCATCTCTCGGTGGTCTTTGGCAACATCGCCAACCCCGTGGCCTGCTTCGTCGCCATGTTCCTCCTGAGTCGGTAAGTGCCTGGAGGGCTCCGGGGTGGGGAGGGGGCTTCCTGCCTCAGCCCGTGGGGCATTGGGGGCAGGGACACCAGGTGGATCCGGTGCGGGATACAGGGAGTCCTTGACTTACGCCAGGGGTCCCCATTCTGGGAGTTGAAGTCTGCAAGACTTAAAGTTGCCGAGTTTGGAGACTTCTGACTTACACCCACAGTTGAGTCCCCAAATTTCCGTCAAGTGAGCTTGGCCCCAATTTGCGACCTTTCTTGCCACAGTCATTAAGTGAACCACCGCAGTTACAAAGGTGGTCACATGGTTGTTAAGTGAATTGGGCTTCCCCGTTGATTTTGCTTGTCAGAAGGACACAAGAAGAGACCCTGGGACCGTCATAAGTATGAATCCATGGCCAAGGGTCTCAACGTTGATCATGTGGGGATGTCACAATGGTCGTAAGTGTGTAAAGGGGTTATAAGTCCCCTTTTTCCAGTGTCGTCGTAACTTCGAACAGACACTGAACAACGGTTGTAGACTGAGGACTACCTGTAGCGATGTCCCCCTACCTACCCTGGTCCAGTCCCTCCCGGGGTTGATGGGAGAATTGACTTCACCTCCCAGGGTCCTGTTGTCTCTCAGGCATTTCGACCTGAGTCTGGGGTAGCTCAGGTGTTGATGCCCACCTGGGGAACTTTGGTGACTTTTCCTGGTCCAACTGGTCCTGGCGTCGGAGCCATCTTAGGGAGTTATCCCTCCTGCCCTTTATCCAGACTGCTTCTCGGGGGTCTTCTGACTGGCCTTAGCGGGGGGCTACCCAGGCCCGTTTGCCCCTCTCTTTCTTCCAGTCCAAATCTGTTTTTTCCCTACACAAACGATGCTGTGCTTCAGTCAGCGTGAGAGGCCACCTCTGGATCTGCCAGGGATCTTGTGGTATCCCTGGGATCTACAGAGCGTCCCCTCCGAGGCGACTTAGGTCCAGCTGGACCACCGGCTGTCAGGATTTTGAAGGGTCCCCCCAGGAGCCCCTAGGGATTCCGTCGTCTCGCCACAACGTCAGCTCTGCCTTTTACATCTGATTTTACGAGTGTTTTTAATGGAGGTGAAAGGTTAACATACGTGCCAAATCCGTGTGTGATATTGCCACATGCTAAATAAATCGCCCTCAGGCCGGTTTCGGGGCTGCCTCGCACACCTCAGGAGGATGTTGTGTCCAGAGGCGATTCGTGTAACACACACACAGCCACACAAAACCACACACATGAATTAGGGGAGAGCTCTCCAAACTTGGCCGCTTTAAGGCTGGTGGACTTCAACTCCCAGAATTCCCCAGCCAGCAGAGCACAGCATCCTAGAGATAGGAACCATAGAACCATAGCACGGCTGGGTGCAGAATTCTGGGAGCTGAAGTCCACCAGCCTTAAAGCGGCCAAGTTGGGGGACCCCCGGATTTGGATTAGGATGAGAGGGCTTGGACTCCGGACAGACCCAAAGGGAGGGGCGTCATTAGTCGGGGGGGTTGTGCAGAGCTGCCCTGGATTGTGCGGGACCCAAGGAGGTGGGGGGAGGGCTGGGAGGGTTTGGGGGGGCTTCAGCCAAGGCCTCCAGCACTTGGGGATCTCTTGGTGGGAGGAGGAGGCTACACTCGCCCAGCAGGTGAGGACAAGGCAGCGGGAAGGAGGGGCTTCCCTTGTTAACCCCGCCCCCCCCTTGGCTATCGCTTCCTGGTTTCTGTGGGAGGGTCATCGGACAGCATTGGGGGGGGGGGGGGGTTGCCTTGGCTAGGCGCAGACCCCTCCCCAGCCATCCTTCTCTCCCTCTTCCAGGTCCTTGCTGGCCCTGAGCATCATCTCGGCTGCCGGATGCGTCTTTGGGGCCTACCTGATGGGGCTGGCAGCCCTCAGCCCCTGCCCCCCACTGCAGGGCAGCCACGTGGGGGTCGCTCTGGTGGTGAGTGGGGTGCAGAAGGGATGGGGGGGGAACAGCCACACGGTCTTCCTCCTGCCCCCCCCCGGCCCTCCAAGTCCTCCTTTTCCAACAAGGGAGGAGGCACTTGGGCCAAGTGGCCCCCAAAGCAGGTCCCCCCCCTGCCCCCTCGGACCCTAAAGCTGCCGAGGCTACCGCAGAGCCAGCTGGCCTCCCTTGCAGGGTTGTTGTGATGACAGGAGGCAGCCCATGAACCCCTGAAGCTCCCAGGTTCATGGCACTCAGGATGCACCTTCTTCCCCTGTTATGCCAACAGCAACAACAACCCTGCAAGGGAGGCCGGGCCGTTTGGACTGGTGCCTGTCTCCCTGGGAGGGAGTCTGTTTCCTGGACTTCATCAGGCACCAGAGACGCCCCCCCTGCACCCCCCCCTTTACGCGAGAGGCAGGGACCGGACCCATCGAGTCTGCCCTCCTCTGTCTGTTTAGCTTATTATTATTCCTGTTTTAATTCTTCCTTGTTCCTTGTGGGCAGCCGACAAATTCAATAATTAAATAATAACATTTGTTCCTGCGGGATGCTGGTCCTCCTGGGTTTATCCCAAGCGTGTTTAAACTCAGGACGGAGCCTCTGCTGGACGCTGCTCTGTCCATCTGTCGGATTTCGGACGGGTGCTTGGGTCCTCGGTGGCTGACGACCGGCCTCTCTCCCACCCACCAGGTGCTGGCCTGGACCTGCTTCTCCGGCCTCTTCGCCTACCTGAAGGTGGCCATCAGCAGCCTGCTGCACGAGGCTGGCCACGCGGCCCTGTTCTGGTGTGGGGCCGTCATCCAGGCGGGGTCCCTGCTGGGGGCCCTGGTCATGTTCCCCCCCACCAGCATCTACCACCTCTTCCAGAGAGGACAGGACTGCGTGGACAACTGCAGGGCGTGACTGCGGCCGGACGGAGACCCCGAGGAGACCCCCCCTGCAGCCCCCCAGCTCTGCTCCCCAGGACTGTTGGCTCCGGCCGCTGGGTGGGGGGGAAAGGAAGTGGACCCTCTGCCCTCCGTGCAGCTGGAGGGAAGGGAAGTGCGCCTCCGTTGTGGATGTGTGTGATCCAGAGCTGCTCCAGGATTTCCGTTTTATGACCATTCTTGCTGCTTCTGTTAAGCGAATCACTGCCTTTGTTAAGTTAGCCACACGGCGGTTGAGCGAACCTGGATCCCCTGTCGACTTGGTTGTCCGAAGGCCGCAAAAGGGGATCAGGTGACCCCCAGGGATGTTGCGGCCGTGGTAATTGGGGGTTGCTAAGCGCCTGGATTTGGATCATGTGACCACAGGGAGTCTCCCACGCCCACTTTCCCCATCGCCCTTGTAACCTCAGGTGGTCCCTAAGCGAATGTTCGCAAGTGGGGGACCCCCTCCTGGCCAGGCCCTCAAGCTGCGCTCCCTGACCACCAGCATCTTCCCCGTCGGAGTTCTGGATCTGGGTTGCAATAGCGCCCCTGCAAGTAGCTTTGTCGGACCTTCGCTTAGTGACGGTTCGTAAGTTGAGGACTGCGTAGTGCCTGTAAAGAAGTTCTGGGGGGGGGCTGGCTCCCCCACAGAGGCCGACACAGCCGAGCCCTTCGCCCCCCACGCACATCGCAAGGCCTCTGCCCCCCCATCTCCCCCCCCAGAACTCCTGGATCCAGAGGGAGGTGGGGGCTGCCCCCCCCAGGCCTTCCTTCGGAGCTTTTGCCTTAAAAAAAAATGGTTTCCTAATATTTGTTTTTTCCTTTTATGTATATTTTTGTACCTTTTTTTATCTGGTTTGTATATTTTGGGAACAGAATTAAACCTTATAATTAAAACCAAAGATCATTTTGGAGAGAGCAATTGTCCCGTCCCGTCCTCCCCCCCCCAGTTCCTCTGCTGGGACCCACAAAGTGGCTCCTTTTCCTGGGGGGGCGGGGGGGACCAGGCCCCCCTCGGCTTCCTGTTCTGACCCAAACCTTGTTCCAAGGAAACAAACACGAAACGGAGATAACAGCCAAACCTTTGAATGATTCTTGACGAATTCCGTTCCTTCCCGACTCAAAGGCTGTTTCAAGCTAATTGTCTCCGATAAGAACAAGCCTTGCCAAAGTTGTGCAAAGCTGCCAGGAACACAAGATAAAATTACTAAGAAATATTTCAAACACAAAGAATCTCCAAACACCAACCAAGATATTCTGAACGTCCACAAGACTTGAGTACAAAAACTTCTTTGCTTCCTGCACAGAACTGCAGTTTCTCAGCTGGCTTTTATCTCTTAAGGGAGGGGCCGTCACCTTGCAGCCTTACTCCCGAGTTGCCTGTGCTGCTGCAGCTGCTCTTTCCTTCGAGCAGCCCTGCACGCATGCACACTGGGCACAGGCTCCTCGGGGGACTCTTCCTCACTGCTGCCAGCCTCCACCGTTTCCGAAGGCAGCACCCCACTCTCCGATGGTCCTGGCCCCATCCCTGCATCACACGCAGCCCCCTCATCTGAGTCCTCGCTCTCTGAGACCTCAGCCGGCTGCCGGCGAACCACAACACGATCTGGTGAAGTTCCTGGAAGTCCACTGCCCACTCCCCCTCCTCCCCAAACACACACACACACACACACATACACACATATCAGAGGAGAAGCTTGAGCCCAGAGCCTGCAAGCTTCCTTCTTTAGGCTGCCCCAGAGAAGTGGGGAGTCCTCCTGTCCTTCAAAGCACCCGAAGGAGTTTACTGACAATGAGAACAATTAACCAGTGGAAGGGCTACTGGACAGCCACTGGTCTGAAATGGGATAGGCCAAGGTTTCCTGCCTGAGCAGTGGGTTGGACTAGAAGACCTCTGAGTTCCCTTCCAACTCTGTTTATTTCTATTCCACTGCAGGATCTGGCCTTGGCTTTTGGCCCCCTTTGGCGTTTCATCACTCCTGGGAAGAGGGTGGATGTGGGGTCAGTGTTGAGGTAATTCCCGGTTAGGAGAATGAGCGCACACAGGGAGACGTAGTGAGAGTGGTGAGGAATAACACACAACCAGCACACAGCTACACTGTAGAGTAAAGTGTAGGTTTTGACTTCCTCCGAACCAGCGGTTCCCAAACTTTTTCAGTCCACCGTCCCCTTCGTGCTACAAACTCATCCTCAGTGCCCCCCACCCACCCAGGGGTGGGATTCAAATTTCTTAACAACTGGTTCTGTGGGCGTGGCTTAATTTGTGGGCATGTGACTGGCTGGGCGTGGCTTGCTGGCTGGGCGTGGCTTGGTGGTCACATGACCGGATAGGCATGGTTTGGTGGTCATGGGACTGGGTGGGCATGACCAGGTGGCCATGTGACTGGCAAACCAAATATAAGTGGTCCTCGTTTAATGGCTGGTTGCTTAGTAAGTGTTCTAATTTATGACTGACCTCCCCAGAGCTACTTGACCTGTTTTTGGAGTTTTGACAGCCACGCACACACGCGCACACACACACACACACACACAAACACACACACCCTTCTAACCCTGCTGGAGCAGGTGGTTGGACTAGATATCTCATTCACTTTCTCCTCCCTCCCTCCCTCCCTTTCTTTCTTTCTTTCTTTTTTTCTTTCTCTTTCTTTCTATCCCTTCCTTCCATTCTCCCCTCTTTCTTTGTCTATCCATTTTCTTCCTTTCTCCCTTTTTCTTTCCCTTTTATTCTTGTCTCTTCCTTCTCTTTCTCTCTTTCCCTCTCTCTTTCTCTCCCTCCCTCCCTCCCTCCCTATCCCATTCACTTTCTCCTCCCACCCTCCCTCTCTCTTTTTCTCTCTCATTCCCTCTCTTTCCCCCTCTCTCTATCCCTTCCTTAACCTATCTACCTATTTTCTGCCCAGGCAGGTGGGGCCTGATCCAGGGGTCACCAACCGTTTGGACCTCACGGACCACCAAACTCAGGGGTGGGCAAACTTTTTGGCTCGGGGGGGCCTCATTGACTTTTAAAATTTGACAGACGGGCCGGGTCAGCACAAGATACGATACATATAAAAAACTGCAGAATCTCCGCAAAATCAAGTCACTGCGCCTAATGCGCCACCTGGTGTCGAATTGCTGTCATTACAAGTCAAAATCAAGTGAATGCAATCATTTAATTATTCACATCCAACCTTAATTCTGTACCAATCTTCGGCGGGCCGGATTAAAAAGACCAACGGGCCGGATGTGGCCCACGGGCTGTAGTTTGCCCACCCCTGACCAAACCCATAATTTTCATTCCTGTGGACCACTCATTTGAGTTTTGACTGATGGTGGCACAGGAAACTTTGGCCGGGCTCTCAAGAGACGAGAGTGACTCTGGTTGCTTCTCTCTGCTAACAGGCAAAACTGCCTCTAAGTATCAACAGTGAGGTGTCACATAAAACGGTTCGTTCTGTATTGTTGAATTTCTTCTGCTTATTGTCTCAGGTATTAAATAGTGTCACCTTGATTAGGAGGGGGAAACATTTACTGTTTTGCATTTCATGATTATCAGAAGCCACTCTCCAAACAGTATAATAAAATGGAACTATTTTGCCATTAAATTACAATTTCTCTTTCTCTCAACAACCTCTCTGCAATGGGCCAGTAACATAAAATACAAGAAGCCTTGCCAAAAGGCTCCGATTTTGTGACAGGGGCCCACGCCACAAATACGTGAAATTCTTGATTCCTCCACTGTCCACGAGAGAAAAAACAACACAGCAACACAAGAAACCAGAAATCTCCCCTTCAAAAAAGGAGTGGCCGGCTGGATGCGGTTTTACACCCGGTGCCCCGAAGGACTCCAGAAGCCAGGCTCGGGGGCTCCTAATAGACACGTAATGGAGGGGAGGGGGCAGGGGGCACATCCTCGGGCAGGACTGCAAACAGGACACCCGTGAGCTGGCAGGGTTTATGAGATGGGCAAAAGCAGTGGCAGAGGGGGGGGTTTCTTCCCCCTTTGTGGTAGCCCCTTCGGGTGCTGCCTCTTCCATTCCAGCGCTGCCTCCAGCACTGATTGGAAGTTCAGCGCTTCTGAATGGAGCGCTTCTCTGGCTGCCGCACTTGAGTGACGGGTGCAGGCAAAGGTAGTGTCCTCGGAGCTGCGTCCCTGGAGCAATGCTGGCGCTTTGGGGATGAGCCACCTCCCCCTAACCCCCTGTGTTAGTGCGGTGCAACAATGTTGTGCTCCCCTTTACACAGGAGTTCGGCCAGCTATATGCAAAATCATCTCTCTTGAGCACTTGACAGTTTGCAGATATCTTGGCCGCCTGTTAGCGGAAAGAAGCAGCCAGAGTCGCTCTCATCTTGAGACCCCGGCCAAAGTTTCCCGCACCGCTCACTCTTCAGCGCTTTGATTCCCAGGGGCAGGAGTTCGCCCAAGCTACCTGCAAAATCCCAGCCCTGAATTGCGCCCTGCGAGGGGGCCACCTCCAGCACCCCCCTGCCGCCTCTTAGCGCCCCCCTGCCAGCCCGTTTGCCTCTTAGTGCCCCCCCAAGGCATCCCCCCCCCCAGGGGGCGGTACCACGCACTCTGGGAACCACTTCTCTAAACGGTTAAGCAAAATCCAACAAGCAGTCCAAAGCAATATAACCATGATGGAGTTAACTGAAGCACTTAAGAAGCAAAATAATGGAAAGGCACCAGGCCCAGATGGACTTCCGGCAGAATTTTACAAAACATTACAAGAATCGTTGAATCTTCCATTGCTAGAAGTTATGAATGAAGTTATGTTAAAGAAGAAGATACCCAAATCATGGTCAGAAGCTTATATTACACTTATTCCAAAAGAGGAGGCCGATCCATTACAAATCAAGAACTATAGACCTATTTCCCTACTAAACGCAGATTATAAAATCTTTGCTTCAGTATTGGCAGAAAGATTTAAAAAATACTTAAATAATTTTATCCATCCTGATCAAAATGGATTTCTGCCAAAGAGACAAATTAAAGACAATATGAGAGTAATCTTGCACACTTTGGAATACTACGAGGCACATCCTGAAAAATAAATGGCTTTGATATTTCTAGATGCACAGAAGGCATTTGACAATGTGAATTGGCGATTCATGTTATTACTGCTGGAACAGATGGGCTTTGCTAGAAAATTTATTTAAGCAATAGAAGCTATATATCATAAGCAGACGTCAAAGGTGATGATAGAGGGAGAACTGACAGACTCTATTGATATAAGAAAAGGAACAAGACAAGGGTGCCCACTATCACCTCTGTTGTTTGTGTTAACTTTGGAAGTGCTAAATAGAAATATTAGAGATGAAAAAAATATAAAAGGGACGAAAATTAAAAAGGAAGAATTTAAGTTGCAAGCATTTGCAGATGATCTGGGTTTTATCTTAGAAGACCCACTAGAAACAGCATCAAAATTGATAGAAAAGATGGAGACATATGGAAAGGTGGCTGGTTTGAAAATAAATAAAGATAAGACAAAGATCTTGACAAAGAATATGCTATCAAGACAAAAGGAAGAACTGGCAGACCTACCCTGTTTCTTCAACAATACGGCCTCCCCCAATAGGAAGTCCCAGCATGTTTTATAGGCATGAAATGAAATTAAGCCCCTCCCCCCAAATTAAGGCCTATATTAAAACATGCGAAATGGGGGGAAATGGTGGGGGGGCTTGCCGTTAGGAAGTACTTTTGTTGCACACCCGGATATGGTGCTCCCTGCGTTGACCCCGATACGAAATGCCCCACCAACGCCGAGGTCAACATCCAAGCTGTCGCCACCCGCCCAAAGATGCAAGGGGGGGGAAAATAAAGACACCCCCGAAAAGAGGGCCTAGCCATTTTTTGGGGGCTCAAAAAAAAAAAAAGACCCGGCCTTACTATATGAGAAACACAGTATTGGAAATTCAGGTCACGAATAAGATCAAGTACTTGGTGATAGACTTGACAGCAAGATGCAGTACACTAAAAGAGAATAATTATATCAAACTTAAACAGCAGATAGCACTAGATTTGGCGAAATGGGAAAATTTACAACTGTCACTAATAGGGAGAATATCAACAATCAAGATGAATATATTACCTAGAATTTTATATCTGTTTCAAACAATTCCAATTAGGCTAGGGAAAGAAGACTA